GTGGGAGGAGACGGTTGTGGCCGGCCTGGCCGGACACAGGTGGTCTGTGACCTTTCACCCCGCTGGCTAGTGGGCCGCCGGGCAAGGGCGGACGCCGAAGTGGTTGGAGGTTGGTGGGAGAGCAGCGGCATCCCACGTGGTTTAGAACAAAATACTCTCATTAAATGGGGGGCGTCAAGGGCTGGGGTGGGGGACGCTGCTCACGTCTCGCTCCTTCCTGAACAAGGGAAGGCATGGGGGCCTACCGATCTGAGTGCGGAAACAGCGAGCCTGACACGGGGACCACGGTGCCTGGGCTGGGTCACATCTCCTCTCAATCTCATTCCCCCAGGACTAGAGTGTGACTCAGCAGCTGAACGAAAGCCTGAGGTGTGCGTGTGGTGTGTGGCATGTGTGAGCGTGTGGGGCTGTGCGTGTGCGTGTGCGTGCCTCAGTGGGGAGAGGACGAGGGGCGTTAGGAAGCCGTGCCTTGTCCTCAGGGTCAAGCTGCACTGAAGTCGCACATTTTGGGATCAGAGGGCGACGCAATTAGCACGCGAGCCCCAACGCCAGGTGAAATAAATGGGTATTTCTGTCTCGGTGACCTGAAGCCCTGTGCAGGGGGGGCTCAGGGTCCGACGCCACGATAGGGAGGAAAATGACAGAGAGTGAAGGAACAGCCACAAGGCCGGGTGTAGACGGGAACTGCCTAACGTTTTCAGTGGTGGAAAGTGGGTCATGGCTGCTCCTTGCTGATCAAATTGAGCTTTATGCTTCACAAAACTAGAGACTGGTTTATGGAAGAGAAAGTTCATGAGAACACAGGAAAGGGCTGGATGTGCCCCGTGCTGCCCCTCAGGGTTGGAAGGTGCTGGGGCAGAGCTCCCCTGGGGGGGCTGGGGACCTGTGGACACGGGAGCTGGGAGCCGGGGGGCACCTGTGTGGCTGATCACGGCATGGCAGCAGCTCCGCCGCCCCTGCCTCTGACACTGTTCCAGGAGAAAGTCTGGCAACACCCGTCTGCAGGCAGCGCCAGCCTCTCCCCGAGACCCCTCTCCTGCAGGGGTGCACCTCCCCTGCCTGCCTGGGGCGCTCCTCCCCTTCGCCATGGGGCTTGTCATTCCAGCGACTGAGCCCCCCAGGGATCAGGGACACCCAGCACCCCCCAGACGTTGCTCCATTGCTCACCTTTTTCCTGCCGCTCACCCGCCCCAGCTGAAAATCCTTGGCATGGCCACGGCCTCGATACACCCCAATGCCTCACACGCTCTCTTGTGGCCTTGTTCTCACTTCCCAACCCCCCTCCGTCAGATCCAGCCCTCCCCCTACTCCCTGCCAACACCGGGCGGGGGGGGGAAACCCCAGGCTCAGCCCACATGTCTCCATTTAAGCTCACGCTCGCCAACCTCAGGTGGCTCCTGGCGCTGCCCAGTGGTCACCTGCACTTCCCAGTCCGTGCCCTGGCCCTGCTCCCCGACAGCCATGTCACACCTCCAGCCTCCCCAAACCTCCAACCTCCACCTCCTTGCTCCCCTCCCTGGGTGAGCTGCCTTCCTAGGTCTCTGAGAGAGTCGGGCAAGCCCTCCCGTTCGCCCACCCTCCGCATCTGTGTGGCTGCTCTGCCCTCTCTCCCACCACCGTGGAGGGACAGTCTGTGCTCCTGGCCACGGCCAGTCCCTGCCTGGGGAGCCAGATCCCGCCCCTCTCCCCACACAGGGAGGAGCAGAGCCCAGGCCACCTGCTCCGGGCAGGGACTTTCTCCTTCCCGTAGGTGGAAGCTGCAGCAGCCTCCACCCTTCGCTTCCTGACATGCGTCAGCCTCGGAAGGCGCTGGACAGCTCCCACTGGCAGGCGGCATTGCCTGGGAAGAGTTGCGCATTTTGGACTTGGAAGCGACATAGCAGTTCCCAGCTCTCTAGGTTTCTGAAGCCCACTTCCAGGTGTTTCCTTAAGTGCTAGGTAGAAGGAAGCCAAAGGGGAACAGTGTGAGGACAGGCCCCACACTCAGCTCCGCCACCCCTACTGGTCTCCCAGTCCTGGCATTCCAGAAAGACTCACAGTCTCCACGTGCCTTCCGGCCGTCCTAGGACGATGGGCTCGTGCCTGCCTACGACTCCGACATGGCCACAGCTGCCAACCATCCAGCCCCACCCCACTCGCTTCCCGCTGCCCTGGAGAATAGCCGTGAGGTCGGGGCTACGTGGGAAGCCCCTGAAGTTCTCACTGACCTTCCAGGATGAGTTTGGCCGTCTGCACACAGCGGAGGGCTGGGGAGGCGAACACAGAGGTCACTCTGACACCAGTGTCCAGCAGCGCGGCCCCTGGAAAACAGCAGGTGGAAAACGCCCCTTTGTGGTTCTGGCCTCCGACGGTGGCCGGCTCCCCTAGGGGGGCCCCTGATGTCCACCCCTGGCGGACGCACCTGCATAACCCCCTGAGTGTGGTGGAACCTGCGACTGTGTTATATGGCAGAAGAGAGATCCCAGGTGGGCCTGAGCAAGTCAGGCGAATGTTTGAAAAGCAGAGATTTTCTCCAGCCAGTCACAGAAAAGAAGTCAGAGATTAGCAGTGAGAGAGATTCTGCATGCAAAAAACGTTCCATTGCTGGCTTCACATGGGGACCATGTGAAGGAACATGGACAGTCTCAGGAGCTGAGACAGTCCCTAGCTCATAGCCAGCAAGGAGCAGATCTCAGTCCTCTGACAGCCTGGATGGGTCTGCAGGGACCTGAGCTCCAGGTGGGAGCTCGGCTCGGCGGAGACCTTGGTTTCAGGCTGTGAGACCCGAGCAGAGAGCCACCCGCGCCACGCCGGGGTTTCTGATCTGCGGAGCTGCGAGCCAACAAATGGGTATTGCGTTAAGTCTGTGGCAATTTGTTCCCCAGCAACAGAAAACTCAAGACCTGCTGAGGCTCGTGGAAGGACAAGCCTACAAGCCACATCTCCTCCGTGACAGCCGAAGCCCTGCCCTTCGGGAGAGAAGCAGGTCCCTATGGCACCAAAACTGCGTGGCACCCAAGGCAGCCAGGCTCTAGTGGAGGCTGAATCATGTCCCTCTCCAAAGAAGACACGGTGGAGTCTTAACCCCTGCTACCTCAGAATGCGACTTTATGTGGCCATAGGGTCTCTACACAGTCATCGAGTTTAAGGTGGGCACCTCGATGAAGATAAAATTAGGGTGGCTCTTATCCACCCTTGTAAGAGGGGGAACTTGGACAGAGACACACACGGAAAGACGGCAATGTGAAGATGCAAGGAGAGGACGTCACCTGCAAGGCAGGGGGAGAGGCCGGGACATATCCTGCTCTCGAAGCCCCAAAGGGACCAGCCCTGCCGACACTGTGGTCTGGGACTCGCGGCCTCCAGAGAGGTGAGGCGGTGAGTGACTGCTGTTTGAGCCATGCGGTCTGTGGGCTTTGTCACAGCAGCCCCAGCAAACGCTCGGAGGCCGACGACTGCCCACGCAGACACCATCCACGCCGCTCCCCGTGCACACACCCAGAGGGGCAGACGTCCGTGCGAGGGCTCAGGCACGGAGCCCAGAGCCGCGAAGGTGCGTTACAGAGGGTGGGCACGTACAGACACACGCACACACGCACGCACGCACACACACACATGCACACACATGCACACACGCACACACGCGCACACACACACACGCACGCACATGCACACGCACCCCGCCGGAGCAGGAGCCCCGCGGGCTGTGCGGAGCAGGCTCACGCCGACTCCCAGGAGAGCAACCGTCACCTCCTCCCGACTCTGCGTCCAGTGACCCCACGTCGGGAGTCTGAAGTCAGTGGTCCTGTGGGTTCAGTATTTTCACCACTGAAATCAGAAAACTGCCGGAATCAGGGCTCCCCGCCCCGCCCAGAGCCGGCGGTTGACGCCATGAGCACACCACGGTGGGCGGGGCCCAGCGAGTCCCTTCGCTTAACCAGCCGCGGGACTTTCTGACTTTATACAATGAAGATGAACTCAACGGTCTCTTTCATCCCAAAAACTCAGTCAGGTGGAACCAGAACCCCCAGACATAAGGCAAAAGCTCAAAGTGACAGATTTTGAAATAAAATCAATGAGGACATGTGGTTTTTAACTTTTTCAATGCCATCCCCAGTGTGCACAGAGGTGCTGAATTTGCCTCCCCTCTTTGTTTATTTTCATGCCTGTCTGTCTTTCATTCCTCCCGACTTCCCCACCCGTCCATCCCTGGTCCAGACCTCTGCCCCTCATCATCGGTACGTCCCCCGTCCCTTCCCGCCAGGCGGCCCAGACACACCTGCGATTCTGGACTGGAAAACTCCGCAGGACGACAACGGCGGGTCGCTTTCGAAGCCTTTGATGCCGTTGCTCCGTCGGGGCAGGCTGCAGGGGAAGTTCAGGTCTGGCCTGTAGTATTTTCCTAAATTATAAATAAGCATCAGATGTTCAGTTTCACCAAGTTAGTGGGGATTCGTTCCACAAACCCCCAAGACAAGACCCACTCTGCCAGCAAGGTCATAACTTAAATCGTTGTCAACTGTGCTGTTTCCTGAACGTGCTCTGCGGTGTGCCTTCAATTCCGGGGGAAAATGCTGCTCAGGCGGCTGGGCGCGCGACATTTCGTCCAACACTGAAGCTTAGATTTCGGCCCAGGAACCGTGCACCCCTCTCTGTCCTCCCAGAACCTCCCATGAAGATTCACTCAGGCAACGTCCCGGCGGAAAACTGAATGTCTCCAGGTGTGAGTCCGCCTGACTCGGTAAGAATCTCAAGTTGGCATCAATTAATTAGGTGGAATTTGACCCATTCCCGTAGCTTTAAACCTATCACGTTGCTCAGGGGACAGACGCCCCAAACTCCGGGCCAGGCTAGAAACCCGGTGGTTCACTGGGCTCTCCGGCATCCCGCCCCGAGGCTGCACAGTGCATGGTCCCTTCCAGTTTGACCTTGAGGTCTAAGATTTGACAGCCTGAGGGCAAATTCCTGTACCACCAGCTCCTCTCTGTGTGACTACAAACAAACGAGTTAATCTCTCTCATCAGTAAAAAGGGGAAAACGACAGTGATGTTCTGGGGAGTCAGTGGGATAATGCCAGTGGTAGCATGTGGTCTCATTGTCAAAATGATGGGTTGTCCTTACAGAGGACGCCACACCGCTCCTGCCAGTGCGATTGGTTTTCCCTCCCGCCCTCCCCAGTGACCCCAAACCCCAAACCTACTGGCCACCAGTAGACCCTGGCAGAGCCCCCAGCCCCAGCTTTTCACGGACGCGGAGGGAGGCGGCAGGGATCTTGCATGCCCCATTCCTGAGGTTCCACGCAGGATTTTTCTGAACACTCCCTCCCTGGAATTTCCATCGGCTGAGACTCTCGTTTGAACCATGAGCTTTAGAGGCCTTTCTGCAATGCCAGGGTTTGCTATGTTCACTGGGAGAGGCAGTTTTAAATGTTTTTTTTCAAAGAGAAGGTCCATCAACTTTATCGTATTCTCAAAGGCATCTGTGATCCAAAAAATGTTAACAACTCCATTTAGGTCTTTTGCTGTCCCTGACACTTCATCTGTGGTCCCTCTGGGCAGCTGAGAGTAGAGCTCAGAAGAGGACAAGGACGTGGGGACAGGGTGCAGGAGATGGGGTGAAAGGGGCCCCCCTGTAGAGGGTGGATGCAGGGCCAGAATCGAGCTGAGCAGAGAGGACAGCAGAGCCCCCAAATCTCTGTGTCCCTGGGGTTGGTCACCTGGGGAAGGATGTGGCCAAATACCCCACTGTAATTGATTAAACCGTGCAATACACAGCATTCAGACAAATTAGACTGTTCACTTTATGGGGGGCTTCTCCACCTTGTAAGACCCACCCAGCGTTTCCTTTCATCCGGGAATTTCTAGCTCCTTTAAAATATTTTCCCTTATAGGTGACTTGACTGTTTGTCTAGACGACCAAATCTATTTTCTTTTTCTGTGAAGCCCAGTGACTATTTCTGGTGTTGGCCGCTTTGTGCCGGTTCCCCCCTGCCGCCACCACACAAGGGCGCGGTGTGCTGTTTCAGCGTGTGGTCTCAATAACCGCGTGTTGCAGGGAAGTTTCCTGCATGGCTGGATGTCGATTCATCCCCAGCTCCCCGCTGCCTCCTTGCTTCTTTCTTAAGCCCTCATGTCTCTGCTTGACCTTGTTACATAGAGACGACCATGTCGTCAGCTCCGTGTGCTCTCGGAGGCGTGTTTGGTCATGATGTCATCTGCTCAGATTTTTCGGGTGTGCACTTATCATCTGCCAGGGGTTTTCCCCACTCATCGCCCCCTTTCTTGGGCTTGCTGGGCACCTGCAGGGATCCCAGAAGGGCTCAGCCAGCCCGGCCACTGTGCATGGACTTTATCACCATGTTTGATAACTAATTTATATAGCAAGCCCTGGGCAAAGCTGGGTATGCAAGAGACGTGCTCGAGAGTATGTCCATCTGTTAGGCAGCGGAGCCAGAAATTGTGGCAATTAGGGTTGGTTTGCAGAGATCAGAGGTGAGACAGACACAGCACGTGCCGGCAGCGTCGGGGTTCAGAGCCGGCAGTTCGGGGTGCCCTGCTCTAAAGTCACTGCGGCACTCGCTAACTGAATTCCCACGTGTGCTGCTGGGAGGCAAAGACCTGCCCAGGCGTTCACTCGGGGACCGAGTGACTATCGATACCCATCCCTCCGCCTTCCACAAAGCAGTTGTGGACAGCAGTGTGGACACCGCACCCCGCAAATGCACACGCGTGACGCCTCTGGAGAAAGGTGCGGCAGGCGCAGGCACGCACTCCACGTGTGCGACCTCCACGCTGTCAACCCACAGCACGGCGCCCTGGGGGGTCTGGTGTCATCTAAGGAAACTGACCGGGGGTCTCATTTACCATTTGTGGGACCTACGGCGTTTCTGTCTGTTGACCCGCCTGGGCGCGACCTACCGTCGGGAGTGGAACACTGCTGCAGCCACGACTTCCCGAAGATCTGGTCCACTCTCTCCCCGTGGCGCACCACCAGCACGCTCCTCCTCGCCGCTGTGGCCTGGGGGCGGGAAGCAGGGCACGTGCAGTTTAACATCCGAGTCACCAGACTCGCGCCAGCCGCAGCGCTCCTGTCACCCAGCAGCTGGCCTGGAGAGGGAACCTCTTCCTCTGTTGGTACCGACAGCTATGGCCCGTTTTGTCGAAGTTGTTACAATGAAAGAGGATGGGGAATTGGGACCCTTTCAATTTCTTCCAACGTCTCACTTTCTGGGCATTACAGCACCATAAAGGAGATGAAGGAGACAGGCTCGGCCCGCAACACGACACAGCTGCTTCCCCACTTTCTCTCTTCTCTAAGTCCTTCTTCCCCTACAGAGACGCTAAGGACATTCTCTCCATCTCTGTATTATAACGCGTGTTGTTATAATACAGGCTGTTACGATGTATTATTGTTATATAGATATAGATGATCTATCGGTTGTCTACTCATGTCTCTGTCTAGTCTTCGCTTTTGCTGGCGCCTTTCCTCTTCCGAGGAGCCCCCAGGACGGCCCCGTGCTGGCACATTAAGGGCAGTGTCTCGCGGTGTCTGGGTGAGTGCGAGGGGACAACAGTATTTTATTTTTCTTTGTTTCTTTTTGACAGGTGAGTGACATTGGCAGTGGCCAGCGGCTTCGAGCCGCGGAGACAGCGGGAGACGGCGGCTCTCTGGCAAACTCCTCCCCTGCAGGAGGAGGGCAGCCGGGATGGCCTCGGAGCCCCACAGTGGCGGGGAGCACAGCCACACTGTTCCTGGGGAGGCCTGGCTTCAGGGAAGTAACCCGAGGGCCACACTTCAGGCAGCGACGTGGGACACTGTTTAGGAGGGGGCTCCTGTGTGTGTGTGTGTGGGGGGGTCTGTCCTCAGGGGAGCTGGGGCTGCCCATTTTCCCCACGCTGGTGGGATGGGGGGAACCTCGAGAGGAGCCTGCAGCAAATGAGACGGAGAGAGTCAGTGAGAGCAGAGGATGATCCCACGGTCAGAGAGCAGAGTGCCAAGGGCCGAACCAACCAGGGGTACCAGGACAGCATAAGCCCTGTGCCAGGAGCCCCAGACGTAGCTGGGACCCTTGAGGGAAACACTGAGACTTGGCTGTCACCCTGGAGGGCACTACTGGGCCGGTTGACGTCGACCCTGCACTTACATGCCCAGCCCCAGAGAGGCACCGCCTGGCGCCAGGCCCGTGCTGCCTGGGGGCTCCGAGGGCTTGTGCCATCAGCATCCCTGTGACATGGCATTGTGGGAGGGAGTGTGTCATATACTGGGACTCATAGCCGCAGCCCCCAGGGGCCCTCCCCCAGAGAGCTGCAGATGTCTCTGGCCTGAGGGACAAACATGGGAAGTCAAGTCACGGGCAGAGAGGGAGGGGGCAGAGTGGACAGCGCCTGCTGCAGGAAGTGGGCTGGGCACTTCTGGCGGGAGGCAGGACTTGGTTGCACCTGCAGGGAGGTGACCAGGCAGGACAGCTGGGCAGGAGGCAGTGCAGGGGCCTTACCTCTGCCCTGCCCGTCCTGACCACACAGCTCTCTGGGTTGAAATGGGAGCGTGACGTTCTCGTGTCTTGCTACTGAGCGGGGTGAGGAGAGGTGACGAGACATGGTCCCTCCCCCCTCAGAAACCCCCACACAGCTGCCCAGACCGCCCTGACTCCCCAAGTCCTAGAGAGGGAATTGCAAATCCTTTAGTATCAGACATGCCCACCCGGACATGACTCAGTTTAAACCAGGCCAGCGCCCCGACCCTCCCTGCTGGGTCTGCTTCTGCTCACAGCCATTGAACCTCGCGTCCGCACCAGGCGGCTGCTTCCTCAGCAAGAGTGGTCGGGATTGCCGGGAAGGAGGGGGTCCAGAAGGTAGTGTGGCGGCAAACCTGCCCACCCCACAGGTGTTCTGGGGCCAGACCCTGCGGCTTCCTCATGAGGTCCACACTGACCTGAGCAAAGTGGGACTCGCAGCTGACCTGAGGGACTGCACTGCTCTCGACGGCCCCGACCACACTGGGCAGGTACATAAGCCACGGATTTGCCTGCAGTCGCTGTGCGTGCATTTACTCAGGCCAGGGGGCGGGGCCTTCGCCATGGTGTGCAGTCGAGGCAAGGGGAGTATCGTCTCTTGCTGGAGGAATGCACGTTCGCTGCCAGACAAGGACACTCACCTCCCGGAGCAGAGCTCCACAGGGAAGGTTTATCTTGCTGCCTGAGCATTTTGCAGTATGGTTGTGCAGAAATCGTCTATACCAACACCGGGAGTCGTTCCCCCACGAGAATGAACATGAAAGTGCCCATCCCATTCCCCTGCTGGGGCAGATCTGCTCAGTCTGCCTGGTGACAATCTCAGTCCATACATCGGGCTGAGGTTTGGATGTGGAGCATTTCCTTCCCCGGAAGAGCCCAGAGCATTTGAACTTTGAAACGTGGAACTTGGCAAGAGGAACGTGATGATCAAGTGAGAGGAAGGCCCGAAGGGAATGGAACGACTAATCCCCGGGGTCTACAGGACGGGCGGGCGGCACCGACTCGGCACAGAAGGTGCTGCCTTAACCGGTCACCACAAGCGGGTTCTCTCGCAGTCCCAGAGGCCAGAAGTCCAAAGTCCAGGTGTTGGCAGGTCGCACGCCTCAGAGGCTGCCCTGGAGAATCCGTTCCTTGCCTCTTCCGGCTCCAGGTGGCTGCAGGTGGCTCCAGGTGTTCTGGCTTGTTCTGCAGGTGGCTCCAGGTGTTCTGGCTTGTTCTGCAGGTGGCTCTAGGTGTTCTGGGCTTGCGGCTGCGTCGCTGCAATCTCTGCCTCTGCCTTCGTGTGCTGCCCCCTTCTTCCGCGTGTGGGAGACCCCACTCTGGTTTTCTCCTGGGAGGACACTTGTGACTGGGTTTAGGGCCCCCCAGACAGCCCAGGATCATCTCCCCACCTCAAGATCCTAACTCATTGCCACCAGCAAAGGCCCTTTTTCTGTATAAGGTCATACGCAAGGACTCCAGGCTGAGGACCTCCTGTCTCCGGGGCCATCATTCAGCCTCCCACGGTGCCTGTGGCCACAGTTTTCCACTATACAGACGGGGCGACGTCAGATGAAGTAAGGGGTCCAGTTCACGGGGAGGCGAATGTTCTCTTTTCATCCACTGAGAGCACCAGCGAGTTCAGACACAGGCGGAGGCTTCCATGCCAGGCCCTCCTCAGTCTGGGAGGGGCACAGCCTGGGGACAGCCCGGCCCCGGCCTCCTTGCTCTCTTCCCCGCCGAGGGCGGCGAGTCCAGCCTGAGCTGTCGGAGCCCAGGAGTCTGGCGCGAGGAGCCCGTTTTTGTCTGTGTGTGGCTGGCGGGCTGGGGCCGTTCTCTGCGACTGAAGACCTGTCTGAAGAGGGTCCCTGTTGTCTTCCCAGCATCTAGTGCCTTGCGCTCAGCTCCTGTTCCGCGAGCTCAGCCCAGCCTCTGACAGGCTCTCGGGGACGGCAGGGGGCGGGGGGCAGGAGGGGAAGCGTGTTGGTCGGCTGGGGCTGCCTGACAAGGACCGCAGACCGAGGCTGGAGCAGCAGCATGAGTTCTCTCCAGTCCTGGAGGCGGGAAGTCCCAGGTCAAGGTGTGGCAGGGCTGGTTCCTCGGAGGCTCTCTCCTTGCCTTGCAGACGGCGTCTCCTCCCTGTGCCCCCACAGGTCGTCCCTTTGTGCATGTCTGAGTCCTCATTTCTTCTTATAAGGACACCAGTTGGATTGGATCAGGGACGCCCTCCTGACCTCGTTTGAACTTAATCACCTCCTTAAAGGCTCTCTCTATAAACAGGATCCCATTCGGAGGTCCGGAGGTTAGGGCTGCAGTATAGGCTTTTGTTGGAACACAATTCAATCCACAACAAGGGGTGAGCTTTGGCCTCAGGCTGATCTGATAGCAAGTCCCAAAAGGGCCATTCGGTCATTCTGTGGTTTATTGAACCAACGAGCTTTACAGACCAGGCCCAAACCCTGCTCTGGGGACTCAGGAATGGGCCAGACCACAGCGTCCCCCCCTCAGGCACCAGGGCCTGGCCTGTGGTGGACACCGACACCCGTCTCATGTCGCCCAGCAGGCTGATGTGGGGTAGGAGACTGTGTGCACCATCGAGCTTCCCGGCCCACCTTTCAGATCCCTACAATAGGGAGGGGCAGGAATGACACCTCCCTGGCAGTTGGGGGGCTGGGATGAGAGATCCTAATATAACGCGGCAGGGCGTGGAGGAATCGATTTGGACTCAATGTGGGTCGGAGTGGTGTTTCCACTGCCAGGGCCAGCTGCAGGTGCAACCCGCTCTTGGGGCCCCTTTGTGAGGAGGAGCGAAGCTCAGATCAGAGGACCGACCTGCCGCCCGCACAGACAGGGACACGGCATCGCTGTTTACCTTTAGGGAGGGGACCCGCCTGGCAGCCTGCGTTCCTGTACATGCCCGGGACCCTGGCCCGAGGCTGCTGTCCCTCCGGGTTTTGGAGCACAGGCTCCTTCCCCTCACCTCGTCTAGCCCGGCCTCGAAACATGAGAAGCCACAGCACTGGTGGAGGTGACTTCTTTGGGGTTGCTTGGCTCGTTAACGAGGGAACTGGGGTGAGAACTCAGGATTCTGGGCAGTGCTGGGTCCCTGCCTCTTCCCTGCCTGGTGTCCCAGTGCCACGACCAATGCTGCCTTCGGGAGCACACAGACAGGGCACCTAGCAGTGGACGGGGCGGCTTCCCCCGCCCGGGGCAGGTGGGCCAGGTGCGGCCCCCAGTGCCTCAGCCCCTGTGGAACCCACGCCCCGTCTGTGCTCCGAGGCAGCAGGGAGGATGTGTCTACAGAACACAGCTGTGCCCAGGAAGCTCGTCCATCCTGGACTTAACACAAAATGCGGCTTTGCTTAGTTGACTTTAAGAAAAAGGGAAAGCTATTACCTGCGGAGCCTGTAGGCTGCTGAGACTCATCGACGTTTGTGGAGGATGAAATTCTGCATTTTGTCTGCTGCCGCCTTCACCGTCCTTTCTGGAGTTCAGGTCCGTGGCCAGGCTGAAGGTGTACGTCCTTTGGAGGAAGAAGATCAAAGGCGTGAACGGAGATGCGAGAGAGGTTGTTGCCATAGAAACACAGCGTGTGGTCATGTACGTGCTTGAGAATGTTCAGGACAACCCGGGCAGGCGAGGCCAGTGTGAGGATGAAAGGAAACGGTGTGTGCAAAGTGCTCGGGACACAGTAGGCGTGCAGTGTGGGGTTGTTTTATTGTTACGCTGCTATCACCATCTGTGTTGGTCGGTTCTTTGTGTCAACTTGGCGAGGCCACAGTACCCGGATATTTGGTCAAATGTTATTTTAGAGTTCACCGGGAAGGTATTTTTAGATGAGATTAACCCTTAAATCGGTAGACTTTGGGTAAAGCAGGCGACCCCCCACGGGTGGGTGGCCTCATCCAATCAGTGGAAGGTCTTAACAGAAAAGTCTGTGGTCCCCTGGGGAAGGGGGTTTTGCTTCCAGACCATCTTTGGACTTGAGTCACAATGTCAGTTTTCCCGGCGTCTCCAACCTGCTGGCCTGCCCTGCGGATTTTGGACTTGCCAGGTCCACAATCTTGAGCCAATTGCTTGAAACAAATCTCCCCCCTCTCTGTCTCTGTCTCTCTTTGGGGAGCCCCCACTAATATGCCATCCTCTTGGATCACCTTCTGAAACGGCCAGAGGTTTGCAGAGGGGCGTGCGAGGGGAGCAGGAACGAGCAGGGAGCAGACACGTGGAGGAGCCGCGGGGACACGCGAAGGAGTGGGGTGTCTGGCGGAAGGAGCTGCAGGGATTGAGGAAATCGCCCCTTCCGATGACTCGAGCAAAGTGCCGTGGGGTGGACAGGCGCCCGGGAGCTGCGGGGTGACTGAGGGGAAAGATCGGGGCAGACCGGAGCAGAGGGAACTCCAGGCTCCCGAACAGGAGGGGGTGACGGGCCCCCAAAGTGAGCGTGTCTGGAAGGAGCAGGCGGGTTGCCGGGCGGAGGAAGACCGTGCGTGAGAACAGCCAATGGTCGCCTAAATCCTCCTCGGAACAGCGAGTGATCCATCTCTCCAAGGGGAAGACCTTTGAAAACTCGATTTAAAAATAGTCCACTATTTCTCCGGCTTGTGTGAACGTTAGGCATGGAAGTCCTTTGCCCTCCCAATATTTCCTGCTGACATTTTGCTCTTGCTCTCAGTTAATCCACTGGAAGAATTCGGGATATTTTGTTTCTGATGTTAGAAACGTGGAAAATGCAGCCAATTAAAAAAGAAGGAAAAAATCCCTAATTCTCCAGCCCCGTTCCCCACTGACCCTTACCCTATCTCCCTCACCCATCCACGCGTGGGCTGCTTCCTTACGCTCTTTTTGAGTTTGAACCACCTTTTCAGGAAAAGAAAATTGCGTAGTCTAGTAGGTGAAAAAATCGCGGACTAAAATAAAGTGGGGCAGCCGGTGGGGGCAGCCGGATGGGGATAGCTGGTGGGGGCAGGCTGCAGTGTTAGACATGCGGGACGAAGACCCTCGGGCGACGCAGGTGCCATTTGGAAGAGCCTGAGGGCGGTGGGCCCCAGGTGCGCAGGGCAGCTGCTGGCAGAGGGAACAGCGTGGGGGGCCCGGCTGCAGGGATGGTGTTCGGGGCCGGTGGGGTTGGTGGGAGGGTGTGGAGCCCACCGCACCTTGAGGGTCGGTCCCTGCCTCCTGGCAGTTAAGACAAGATCACAGGTCCAGGGAGAGCAGGGAGCCCCTGGCCACGACCCAGGAGACCAGGTGGGAGCCGTGGAAGGCACGAAAATGGTCAGATTCGGTTATATTTTGAACGTGGAGCCAACGGCGTTTTCTGATGGATCAGAAGCAGAGCCTGAGAGAAGTGAGGGGTCCGGAGGCTCCTGGCTTTGGGCCCAAACAACTGGAAAGAAAAATTGCCCTTGATAAGATAAGGAGACCAAGCGGAGCAGAATTTGGGACAAGAGCTGGAATTCGACTTTGGATGTGATAAGTCTAGAAGGTTACCCAGCAATCCACACGGAGCCCCTGAGCCTGCCTGGACGGCAAGTGTGGGGTGCAGGGGAGGAACCTGGCTGCGGGGGAGCCGGCACGCAGAAGGCACGGAAGCTGCACGCTGGGGACGGGGCTCACAGACACGTCCGGGGGCTGAGCCGGGCCCCAGCAGAAGGAGGTTAGAGCCCAGGAGGGGAGGATGGGCAGCAGCTGGCGGGGAGGACACCCAGGAGGAGAGGCCCTGGGTGCCAGGGAGGGCGGGGACAAGGAAGGGGCGGCCGGGTGCCTGATGCTGCTGCCCAGGGTCAGGTAAGGGGCGCAGAGGCCTGAGCATCGGACACAGGGTGTGGAGGGGATCGGCCACCCGGACAAGGGCAGTGTCAGTGGGGTGGTGGCGGGGGAAGCCTAACCGGGCGGGGTTTTAAGAGAGAAGGAGAGGAGACCCCTGGAGACAGAGAATATAGGCAGCTCCCGCCAGGGGTTTCGCTACAAACGAGAACAGAGAAACGGGCGGTAGCTGGAGGGGAAATGGGATAAAGAGGTTTTGCTTGATGATGTTGTTTTAAGGTAACAGCATGCTTGTCTGCTGGTGGCAATGATCGAGGAGGATGCAGGGAACAGTAGATGATGCTGCCAGGATGTCCTTGGAGGGCGTGAGATGCCCAGGAGGATGGGCCGAGAGGCACCAGTGGGCAGCTGCCTTGCTAGGAGATTGGACGGGCCCGCTGTCTAGTGGGGAGAAGAGCACACGGACCCGGAGGTGGTGGCGTGGCAGAGAGCGTCCTGCACTCTTCTGGCTGCTGCACCTGTCGTGGCACGAGAGGGAGGAGGGGGAGGTGCGTGGGAGGTGTGAGTGGGCATGGCTGGGAGCCTGCATGGACAAGGCAGATGGAGACGTTGCAGGCAGGACCTGCGGGTGAGACCCAGCAGCATGGGGTGGTTTTCTCTGGCACTTTCCGCTGGGTTAGGGCTTGGCCAGGTGAGTCTAGGCAGCAGAAGGGACAAGGGAGTGGGGGATGTTCAAGGGAGCAATGGCAAGGGTTGGACGTGGAAGTTAGCTGAGGTGAGGCGTGCGAAGGGCCGGGAGACGGGGGCTTGGAGGATGGCTCTCCTGCTGAGGGGCGGTCCGTGGGGCGAGCGTGCATGCGTTTATCTACATGGTTGCAAACACAGTGTATACACATTTACATACACCGTGCTATTAGAGTTACTTGAAAATATTTTAATGATTGCATAATATTAAAATATGCATGTCATAATTTGCATGACCATTTCCCTAATTGTCAGAAATGTAAGTTGCGTCCATTTCTTCAAAACTACTATATATAATTTGGCAAAGAACACCTTCGCGTGCAAATCCCGATTTCTTTCTTCCTTAGGATGGGGTCTCAGGAGGGGACCCATTGGACCAGAGGGTGAGACTGTTTCTAAGGTTCTTGGAGACATTGCTGATTTGCTTTCTAGAGATTTTCACTTTCACCTTCTTTGAAGGAGGACACTCAACTCATTCTGTGCTCACCAGTGTTAATACTGTTTTTATATTAAAAACAGAAAAAATAAAAACCTTTTCTGATTTGAAAGAGAGAAACGGGGCCTGATTTTTTGTGCATTTCTTTTATTACTGGTGAGCAGGGTTTTATTCTCATTTACTTTTCTCCTGTTCATGTTCTTTGCTGACTTTTTCTATTGGAGCCTTAGTGTTTCCTAGCAGTTTCTGCATGAAGACTTTGTGTGTGAAGAATACGGTGCACGGCCTGTCGGTCAGTGAAGCGCAGAAGTCAGACGTGAGTCGGCTGGGGCCAGAGCGCCCAGGGCCACGGTGTCCAGGGACCCAGGTAGCCAGGGAACTGGGCCACAGCAGGAGGGAGGAAGGTGGGCAGGTAACAGGTCCAGAGGGTGACCCTTGAGGGGCTGGCGACTTTGTTAATAGCTTCTGAGAAGCATTGCTTTGGGTCGTAATGTTCTTTGTGAGTTTTAACGAACAGACGTCTTAAATTTTAAGCATTTAATAATCGCTGTTAAAGACAGATCTGTGAAGTCTCACTTTGAGATGCCTTCCGCTGCTTCTCACCCAAAGCTCTTCCCGGTCCAGAAATCAGACACACAAGCCTTTACACAGACGTCTATTTTTTAAGCGATTTCCTTTCTCCATTAGCTCCTCGACACTGCCGGGAATCATTTCAGAGGCTGATGTGAAGAGACATAAGGTATTGTTGATTTTGCGTCCGCTTCTCTCCCTGTCTCTGGTGCGCCCGTCGTCAGAGAGGACTCCTCTGGGATGCTGGTCCTGCCCTGCTGTCTGTCTGTCTGTCCCTCTGACCCGTATTGCAGATTTATAGCACATTTTAGACCCATGGCAGGGTAAGTGTCTCCTCTCAGTACCTTTACTTTTCAAAGTTTTCTCAGGTCTTCTCTCCTGTTTGTCCTTCCAGATAAACTTGCCATCCGTTTGGCGAAGTTCCAGCAAAGGATTTTGCCTAGAATTTCATGAAACCTGGGAGTGACTCTGGGAGAAATGGATACATTCCCAGGATTCAACTTTCTCAGCCACGAAACACGGTGCTTCTCTGCCTATCCAGCCCATTTGTGAACGTTTGCATTTCTCTCGTAGGGGCCTCCAGCCCCCGTCTCACACAGCCAGCAGCAGGTCCCCAGGCCCCCGCCCCAGTCCCGTACCGAGCCAGGAAGGGCGCGTTTCTCCCACGGCTCGGCTGTCTGCCCTGCGCTCCCGTAGCCATGTGCCCGGCCGTGCGCTGCCCGCAGGTCGTCTTGATTTGGTTTGGCTCCATGTTTCCCGAACTCTCTGCCAGTTGTACCTTCTCTTTTCATGTCATTGTGACCTGTCCGTCTTGATCTGTGAACCCCTGCTGGCACGGTCCGGGCCAAACGGATTTTCTTTGTTCATATGCTGTCCTAGCGCCAGGGAGGGCCAATAGTATGAAAAGCAAACTGGAGCTGATGGCAAGTAGACCAAGAATACTGACATTCATGCTGAACCACTGACAGTTCCCCCTTCAGATGAACACGCGGGGAGCAGCGGGGGCGCCATTCGTCGTGTTAACACAGGAAGTGTGGGCTGCTTTCCCCTTCCTGAGGGCGAGGCGGGGGCACCCCCACCCCCTGCTGCGGCTCCCCAGGCAGACAGCAAAGCCTGCTATCAATAAATGACACCTGTGGGGTTTAGGGAGCGAAATTGAGATTTTTTTGCCAGTCTTTCAAATGAAGTGCGATCAAGGTTCCGACGGAAACGCTGGCGGTGGGAGGCGGGGAGGAGGCTCTCTGCACCTTGATGTTTCTGTTTGTCTCTGCAGCTTCAGACAACCACTGTGCTTGCCTTGTGCCACAGAAACAGATGTGTTTAATTCTCCCCGCTTCTTAAAAGGACGTAGCTGCAGCCTGTGTGGCTGCACGGACGGTGCCCGTGTTAGTCTGCCGGGGCGGCCGTAACGAAGTCTTAACTGCCAGGTAAGAGGCATCCGAGCTGCAGACTCTCACCTGGACACATGCCCCCTGTGGAAGGCAGGGCAGTCCTTGCTGGTGGACCTGTGGGCCTGTTCTCGGCCTGTCCAGACGCCGTTACTCCAGCAGGCCTGTTCCTGGCCTGCTGTGGGCCCTGTAACGCCGGCAGGCCTTGCTGCTGGGGTTGCACCTGCTGAGTCTGGGTCCTGTGGCTGCGGCTGGTGGGAGGTATTTGCCAAACATCTGAACAGCCGCCATCTGCCACGGGCCAGCCAGCCTTTGGACAGGGCCTTCTGACTACACTGCCTGCTACTTAGCATGTTAGTGATACGTCCAGATGTTCAAGGACCATTTTCTGATTTAAAAAACTCTGTGTTTAATAAGGACTTTCGGCAGTTGTAAAAGATTTACAGCACAACTGAGTCTGACGGTGCCCACCGTGTGCTATTCTGGCCCAGTCACATGTCACGATTTGTCAGCAGGTGCTTCCAAAACAGGGCCCGTCAGACACCCCACGCACCTAGTCTAGCGCTTATTTTTCTTTCCTTTCATTGCAGTTTTCGTTACTATTTATTAATTCCTACGATAAACTTGTCACTAGAAAGCACAGTCCCAGAAATGTCAGGTCCAAAAGCTGGGATGGTCATGTTGGTGACAGGTGCCTGACATACTCATTGCGAAGTGAAAATATCACAGCCACAAACTCGTATTTTTCAGTGTCCTGCATAGTTCTAGAAATATCCCAGCTTGTCGACTGCCTGGTGCTTCCTCTGTGACAAGGAAACTCTCCTTTCCTGGGCAGGGTGAAGGACATGGGCCATAGGGGAGCCCCAGCCAGTTAGGGTGTAACCAGCATCTCCTCTCTATCCCTTAAGCCTTTTATTGGACCAAGTTGGTTCCAAAATGACACAAGTGCCTCCTTCTCTGTGTGACATCACCCACCTCACTGGCCTTGGCCCGAGTGTTCTTATCTCCCACGCAGGAGGGTTGTGTCATCTCTACAGTCCCTTGCGGCACCAACATCCTGTGATTTTGATGTGACCACTGGACCCATGGACATGTCTAAACCAGCACCTTGTGCTCATCCTGAGCCTCCGGTCTGCATACATCTGGGCGGCTGTCACTGTCTTGTCTGAGGCCTACCCCTTTTCTTACTGGGTGCGGGGAGCTCACAGCACCAGGGTGTGCGGATGTGCGAACCTCAGCCCTGGTTTTCTCTTGACATCTCTACCTTTATTCTCCCCGTGACCCAATTTCCTATATTCTTTTCTTTAAATTTAAAATGCATCGATTTGTATTTTGAATAAGTAATACATGTATGTAGTTCATGATGTTACAATGATGAAGAGCCTCCCTCCCATTCCTGTGCTGTTCTCCTGGCTCCCACACTCACCCCACGGTCGGAGGTTTCTAGACATTCTCCCTTCCAGGGAACTTTTAGGCACATACATGTCTGTAAGTACATATCATGCGTGTATATTTACAGACAAATATGTGTTACTTCCTCCTTTCCCCACAAGCGGTATCGTACTATACACATTATTCTGCTACTTATTTTTGTCATTTATCAATGTAGCTTGTGTATTTTTTTCACATCAGTACGTAAAATACTTCCTCATGATTATTTTAAAGCTACAAGGATTTTATTGTACGAATGTATCATTTATTTCACTGACCGATTTTTTTAACATAATGATCTCTTCTATAGGCAGCTTAGTTAACAGTTGAAAGCCTGAGTTGGGGATTAGGATCCAGTTTGAATCCTGCTTTCTCAACTCACTCGCTGTGTGAGTGTGGGCACGTAACTTGATCTCTCTGTGCCTCAGTTTTATCCAGTACGATAATAGTGCCTACCTTGGCTGGGCTCAGGAACGACATTACCTAACTTCAAATTATACTACAGAGCTGTAGTAACCAAAACAGCATGGTAGTCACATAAAAACAGCACATAGTCCAATGGGATAAAAATAAATCCACACATCTATAGTGGAACTCATCTTTGACAAAGGTGCCAAGAGCATACAGTGGGGAAAAGACAGTCTCTTTGATAAATGGTGCTGGGAAAACTGGATATCCACATGCAGAAGAATGAAAGTAGACCCTTATCTCTCACTATACACAAAAATCACACCAAAATGGATTAAAGACTTAAATCTAAGACCTGAAACTATGAAAATACTAAAAGAAAACATTAGGAAAATGCTTTGGGACATTGATCTGGGCAAGGATTTCTTGAGTAATACACTAAAGCACAGGTGGCCAAAGCATAATTGGACAGATGTGATCATATCAAGCTAAAAAGCTTCTGTACAGCAAAGGAGACAATCAACAAAGTGAAGAGACAATCCACAGAGTGGGAGAAAATATTTGCAAACTACCCATCTGACTCAGGATTAATAACTAGAATATATAAGGAGCTCCAACAACTTGATAGAAAAAAATCAAATAATCCAATAAAAAATGTGCAAAGGATCTGAATAGACATTTCTCAAAAGAAGGCATACAAATGGCCAACAGGTGTATGAAAAGATGTTCAACATCATTATTCATCAGAGAAGCGTAAATCGAAAGAACAGTGAGATATCATCTCACCCCAGTTAAAATGGCTTTTATCAAAAAGACAGACAGTAACGAATGCTGGTGAGGATGTGGAGAAAGGGGAGCCCTTATACACTGTTGGGGATGTAAATTAGTGCAACCACCATGGAGAACAGTATGGAGGTTTCTCAAAAAACTAAAAATAGAACTAACATATACCCAGCAATCCCATTGCAAGGTATATACCCAGAGGAGGGGAAATCAGTATATTGAAAAGATATCTGTACTCCCATGTTTATTGCAGCACTATTCACAATAGCCAAGATTTGGAATGTCCAACAATGTTGTCCAACAATGTCCAACAATGAATGAATGGATAAAGAAATTGTGATACATATATATACACAATGGAATATTCTATAGTCACAGAAAAGAATGAAATCCTGCCATTTACAAGGACATGGATGGAACTGGAGAACATTATGTTAGGTGAAATAAGCCAAGCACAGAAAGACAAATCTCTCATGTTCTTACTCATAGGTGGCAGCTAGATATTAAAACCCACTGATCCCAAGGAGACAGAGAGTAGAGTGACGGTTACCAGAGGCTGGGAAGGGTAGCAGGGAGGAAGGATAAAGTGGTTAATGATTGCAAAAACATAGTTAGTTAGATAGATTGAATAACATTTGGTAGCACAAAGAAGTGACTATAATCAATAATAAGTTCAGGTATACTTTAAAACAACGAAAAGAGTGGAATTGGAATGTTCCTAACACAAAGAAATGATAAATGCCTGAGCTGATGGAAACCCCAGTTACCCTGATTTGATTAATTTGCATTGTGTGCCTGTATCAAAACACCACATGTACCCTATAAAGATACACAACTATTATGTATCCATAATAATTAAAAATTAAAAAAAAATGTATCGCCTGTTTTTTTCTTGTTACTTACAGTAAAATGGCAGAGGAGACAGATACATTGAGGCAAGAACCATTAAACAAAAGGGAATTGGTACCTGGTGATTTTGAACATCCTTCCCTCACCAGATGACGCTAAATGTGCTAAAATCACAGGATCGTGCAGCTGGGCATAAAGACACATGCCCCTGGGAGTGCTACAGCCTCAAGGAGATTCAGAGAGGACCCTGAGCCTCCGCTGAGACCCCAGCCCTGGCCAACACCTGGTTACAGCCTGGGGAGACCCCGAGCAGGGGACCCCGTTATGCCATGCTCTGACTTCTGACCCATGAAAACAATAAGATAATACTTGCATTTTTTGTTTTATCTGTTATTTTGTGTTAATTTGTTATACGGCAATAGAAAACTAATAATGCACCTTATGATTTTACAGTTTATACACCAAGCAGAAGAATAAATAAACCCACGCTTAGAACCTCTCAGTATAATGTAATATGCTCATAAAAAGGGAGTAGTATTTTGCGATAATTTTGAGATTGCTATCTCAGAAAAGTAATACAGAGTAATTCATGTTTTCTGAATATTATCAGCAGAAAACCACAAATCAAGCAAGGTATTTACTACACACCTGCAGGGGTAATTTTGCCACCGCAGAGAATGCAATTTTACCAGTGAGGAAGGGGTCTGGGAGCACACAGACACTGGGACCACGGAAGGAGGCGGCGACGCGGGGCTGCGGCGGGGGCAGTGCTCACCTGTGCTTCACCCAGGTGTCAGCCTCGCTGGCTCGGTCCGTGTAGTTTTCCGGCAGGAAGCCCCGGCGGCCCGTCCTCTGGGAGACCCCGATCACCCAGCCCTCGCTGGCTTCCTCCTGCTGAGTGGGGTCCACAAAGATGTAGTCGCCCGGACTCAGCGTGAGCTCGTCCGCGTTCTGGGGTTTGTACTGGAATAGGGCCCTCAGGGTCTAGAAAAGAGGCGGGTGGCATCACGTCCTAAGCGAGGATTTGCATCGGGAAACGGCAGCAATGGGAGGCCTGTTACATGCTGCCTCCTGCTTTCTGGCTCCTTTGATGTGTTCTGTGTCCCCAAGACAGTGTCCCAGCCTTTGCTGGTGACACAGAGCATAGTGTGTAACAAAATATAGCACAGAACTCTCCGGAAAAATTTAGAAATAAAATTTGTATCTATCTATCTATCTAGCTAGCTATCATCCATCCACGTACTTATTTTGTAGACGAAAGATCTCAAAGCATAACCAGACGTTCACAGGCACCCTCCCTGGCGTGAGGTTATTCACAGCTTCTCTTGGGACGCAGGACGCGGTGGACGCATTCGCGTCGCTCCCTGAAAGGAGCAGCGCACACTTTCGCTCCACGCCCAGGGTCTCACGGGGAAGGAGGTCCTTGAATGAGGCTTTGCCCAAATCGTTGTTTAAAATGAATTAATAAGCAAAACATGTGTTCATATACCTTTACGATAGTCCTTTCTTATATCAGAAATGCTTCTACTTTGTTTTAAAATCTCTGTGCATCTGCAACTCATATGAAAGAATGCCCGTTCCAAATCGCACAAGAAAGGAAATGGTTTTAGAGAAGGAAGAGCTCTCATTTCTATTAGAACCCCTCGGCTGGAGGCCCCCAGGGGTGCGTGTTGTCAGGTGGGTGGCCGTTCCTGCACATGGAGAGGGTCCCATCCAGCCACACCCGCCAGCCTCCTGGCTGAGTCTCACCTGGTAGTGCACGAAGCGCATGTCCCGGGAGTAGAGTGCCGCGGTCCACTGGCAGCCGTGGCCGGGGTGGACGGCTCTGGCCAGCTGCTCCAGCGTCCGCTGGTGGTGGGGGTAGAACTTGTGGGCCAGGGTCAGGTGCAGCTGCTTGGTGCAGGGCTTCACGGCGCAGTCTGTGGGGGCAGGGAAGCACAGGGGCGTGGGGGCACCTTTACCTACGGCGCCACACCCCGGGAAGGGCAGCAGGAACACCTGCACGTGCAGCGCCCCTGCCTCTCCCCGCCCCTTCCCTGCACTGCGGCACCTCGTTATAAAGGAGGTGGCTGGACACCTGCAGACTCCTGGAGACAGGAAAGAGGAGGCATGGAGATGAGGGTGCAGGGTCTCTGGGACTCCCAGTTTGCAAGCTGGTTGCCCAAACACACGACTCAAATGTACAGAGTAAACGGCGTCTGCGCTCCCTGGCGTGCGCACGTTCCTCAGCTGCCTGGACTCAGGCCCGAGCTCCAGGTCAACGGCTTTCTGTTCAGTTGTACAGTCTCACTCAGGAAGCAAGGAAACCCTATAAAACATGCAGTGTCTCTAATGTGTGCCTTGTTTTGGTCAAGCGGGAAGTCCCGGGAGTGGCTGAGCCCCAGGTTTTTGGGGTGACCTCTGCCCCCACAGCTCCAGCGCTCTCTTGCAGGAATCTCAGGTCAGGAGCAGAGTGCCCGGTGTCACCAAAGCAGCCAGGATCTGATTTCAGCCGGCCACGGACTGTTTTATGTTCTGGGGGTGGTCGCTGTCATGACGGGAACAGCACCGACTTTGGTATCAGATAGACCTGGCTTTGTACTCCATTGTGCCCCTTAGCAGGGCGACCTTGGCCGTGCATCTTGGCCTGACCTGGCTTCCGTTTCGACAGCTTTGCTTAAGGACAGCGAGAGCTGCCTGCCGGGGCTGTGGTGGGGACCCAGTCCCCTGACATGCGGCTTCCTGCTGAGACTGCCATCTCTTGGCGCTCAGTGGTCACCTGCCGCCTCTCCCTGGCAAGGCCTCCCAGACAAGCAGGACCTGTTCTCCCCTAAGCCGTGCCAGGGGCAATTCAAGCTCTTCCTGGGGACTTGCATACAGCCCTCCCACGCCCACGTCTCCTGCGCCAGCGGCGAGACCGTGGCAGCAACCGCAAAGCCCTGCAGTCTCCGCGCCGCGCCGCCCCGCGCTGCTGGCTGAGCAACTGAGAGCAGGAGGGTGTAGGTGGAGGGGAAATTCCTTTTCTGACATGTTTTGGCAGTGAGGGAGGACGGCCTTGCCACGTGAACGAGCGTGGCCGGGGAAAGACCCGCTGCGGTTGTCATCTGAGTGGCATCCGAGTGAGTCACACCCTCTGAATGGGCCCTTGTCTTTCCTCCTCTCTGTGGCCCAGGCCCTGGGGGTTTTGCTGGGCAGGGCCAGCGGGGGCAGGACGCCCGTGCACTTGCCCTGAGAGGGACCCAGGCCCCTGCGGAGCTGTGACTGGACACTCCTCACCGAGGAAGGCCCCTCCTAGCCGCCCCGCCAGGGTCAGGCCAAGGGCATGGGCTGCGGAAGGGCAGAGCGGAGCCTGCCCAGGGTTGGGACGTGGACATGAGGGCAGAGCTGGCCCCCCAGGAAGTGGGGCCCCAGCGTGAAACCCGGGCCGGGTGGAGCGAGACGGAACCGGGTCCAGGCGCCAGTCCCACCGCACTGGGTGGAGGACCGTGCGGGTGTCCTGGGGCTGCCATAACAAACCCTCACACACTGGGTGGCTTAAAACAGCAGAAATGGACCCTTTCCCAGTTCTGGAGGCCAGAAGTCCAAGATCAAGGTGTCGCTGGGCTCTGCTCTGCCCCACTCCAGGGGACACCCTTTCCTGCCTCCTGCAGCTTGCGGTGACCCAGACGCCCCGTGGCTCGTGGCGGCATCACTCCAGTCTCTACCTCTGACCCCATGTGGCCTTCTCCTCTGTGTCTGTGTCTCTCCTCGTCTTACGAGGACACCCGCCATTGCATCTGGAGTCCGCCCTCATCCAGCGTGACCTCATTTGAAGGAATCACATCCGAAAAGACCCTATTTCCAAATGAGGTCACCCTCTGAGGTCCCTGGTGGACGTGCATTTTCAGGGACACGACTCAGCCCAGCGCAGTGACCTTGGGCAGACACTTTACCCTTGGCAGCCTCAGTCTCCCCATGTTTAAAATGAGACCCAGCTGGGAGTGGCAGGAAGAGTAAGTGACACGCCAAGCCTGCCCTGAGGCAAGCGATGCGACACTCACATCAGGACAACAAGAACCTTTTAGAGGAACGGACACTAAAGCGCCGTCATTCGATAAAGGCGGCTGGTCCACAGAGACCTGGTGACTTTACAATTATCCAGCAGATCTTGTTCTCAGACCCCCGGGCCGGCAGCCAAACCTGTAAATCCCACTCCAGGATTCACGGATCTATTTCTGGGCCGGGACCCACGCTTCCCACCCGTCTGAGGATGGGGCAGACAGCAGGGGGCCTCCCACCAGGGCCCGCGGCCCCTGCGGTTCAGAGCTGGCAAACCACGGCCACGCTGAGCACTTCTGTGTGCCGGGAACTCTGGGGGCGGTTCCACGAAAACGGCAACCAGAGCGAGAGCCCCGCCATGTCGCAGAGAAAGGAAACGGACCGAAATGACTGGATTCAGGTCCCGGCCCCGATGGGGAGGCAGGAAAACATCCCCACACCGGGGCTGGTGTTCGGAGAAAAGGGGAATTTTGCTGATTCTCAAAGCGAGTCTAGAAAAATCTTTGCCCTGAGAGGCCAAGGAGAGGGGAGCGAGCTCATGCTGGGAAACTGACGTCATCGGGTGGGCTACGTTTCTCCTGGGTGGGGACGACCCCGAGTGACCGTTGTCACCGGCTGCGCCCACTCCTGCCTGGTGTTCGGGGCACCCTCTGGCGGTTTCCCAGGCCTCCGGCACATCGCTAAGCATTTTGAAAAACCACATCCATGCAAACAAGGCGAGTCCTGCTGACGGAGAAGACCACGGTGTGTCCCGCGCCCTCCTACTCGCCTGCGTTTTTGAAGGACGCAGCGGCTCAGTGAGGAGGCCTGGTTAAATTGTTCAGCCTCAGGTTAAGGTCAATGTGCTTGGCTGCAAATCGAGAAGTGGGGAGTAGAGACGTGCAGGCTGGGGCAGGTGCAGCCCCTGCGCCCAGGAGGACGCCCGACCTGCCGTCCGAGCTTCGCTGCCGGACCCCAGTTCCCTGGCGTGCAAGCTGGGTGTGCGCAGCCCGGGACATGAGGGCTCAAGCACTGCTCACCGGGCCCGCGTTCACAGCTGGCCGGGGCTGCCTACCTGCTAAGACAGAGGCTTCGGTGGCAAAGGTCACCGCAAATTCCCGGATGACGTCGGCGGGGCTGCCGCTGAGGAAGAAGCCGAGGTAGCTGATGGAGGAGTGGAGCACCAGCGGGACGGCCGGCGGGAAGGCGCCCAGGACCCTGTCCCCGGCTCTCTTCAGGGCCTCGTACAGGCATTCCACCTTCTGGTCTTCACACTGAGGGAAGAGGCAGACGAGGGTCCTCGTCTCTGGTTAGAGTTTAATTAATAAAAACCATACAGCAATCAAGGTGAGACTCTCGTGTTCAAACTGTTATGGCAATTTGTGATAATGATAATGTGTGTCTGAGGTTATGGGTTTGTTTATAGTTCAATATGTCAAGTGAAATTTTTTCTGGAGTGGAATCTCCTCTAAGTGCCCCGGTAGGAAATCCCCGGTCACCCTGGCAGCGTCCCCCTCTCCATGTCCTGTTGGTGTGACCCCGTGTCTGCCCGGAGTCCGTCCTCCGTCCTGCGGGCCATGGCTTTCTCGGGATTACAGGATTTGGCTTCTGGAGGTTTCCTGCAGTCTCGGAGGCAGCTGTGGGGGCCACGGCTCAGAATCCACACTCTGGGCTGAGGCTAAGCATGCGAGGACAGCGGTCACGGCTCTGCCTGGGCGCCTTGTGCCAGGGCAGCCCTGCGGCGAGGCGCTCCCTGCCCTCCTCCCCTCCCCCGCCAGGTCCTTCCTCCTCCTCTGTCCTTCACGGGATCTTCCCAGTGACTCTCTCCATGTGGAATTCCGCCCTGGGGTCTGCTCCTTGCAGGGCCTGACCCCTTCTTCTGGACCCTCTTCCCACCTTGCCACCCCACCCGACGCAGCAGGCACCGCCTGTCACCAGGAGAGACTGGTGTCGCCGCTCAGCCTGAAAACCAGGCGCTGACAGGCGAGGACACCCCCTTGCCCGCCTTGTCCCACCCACACCCCACCGTGTCCCACAACCAGGCACGGCGCCTCTGTTCTGGGCGCGGAGCTGCACGCCGCCCTGGCCCGGCCATTGCCTGGCCTTGAAGACCTTCCCTGGTGCCACGGGCCACCTCGGACCACGGTGAAAACTCAGACACAACGTCCCCCCGCAGGAGCCGAGCCAATCCCTTCCACCTCCGGCTGCCGGCACAACTCGGATTTCCACAGCCCTTTTTATCCGCCACAGTGTAAACCGCATCATAGTCGCCAGTGTGCGTCCCTTCTCCCCCGGGGACCGGGCACCGGCTGCGTCCCTCCTGCCGATTCTCTCCCTGCTGCTCTGGCTGTGACCAGAAAAGTGTGCGGAAGGCCCTCAGCACGTCCCATGGAGCGAGGGACTCAACGTTCACGAACCGGCCCACACTGAATTTCCGGGTCTCGAGCACAGTCAAAGTATAGACATGGCCGTAGCCACTGTCACCCCTCGGTGGGCGGCGTTTTCATATTCCAGCATTGCAGGCGTAGGGTGGATCTCTGTACACTGCCGCCCGCACGGGTGCTCAGCCACCCACGGTGGGGTCGGATGCGGGGTGCGGAGCTGTGGGGGGGCAACACCACAGAAGGGAGGCGTGTGTCTGTGTCTGTGTAATTGCATGTGTCCGTGTGTGCTTGTGTGTGTGTCTGTGTGCATCTGTATGTGCCTGTGTCTCTGTGCCTATGTGTCTCTGTGTATCTGTGCGAATGTGTCTGTGTGTGTTTGTGTATATCTGTATGTGTATGTGTGTCTACGTCTGTGTGTGTGCCTGTGTATGCCCGTGTCTGTGTGCATGTGTGTCCGTGTGTGTCTGTATATGTGTATCTGTGTGTATGTGTCCATGTATGTCTGTGTATCTCTGTGTGCATATGTATGTATGTAAGACGATGACTCTGTGTCTCTGTGTGTATGTATGTAAATGTGTATATGTACGCGTCTCTATGTGCATATGTATGTAACTATATATGCATGCATGTATGTGCACACCTGTGCATGTATGCATGTGTGCACACATAAGGGTGTGTATGCGTGTGCATGTATTCATGTAAGTGTGTGCACATGTATATATTTAAATGTGTGTATATAAGTGTGCACATGTATGTGTATATGTATGTATGCAAGAGTGTGTATGTATGTGTGTACACATGTATGTAAGTGTGGGCATATGTATGTAGTTGTATGTATGTAAATGTGTGTGTGTAAATGTGTGTATGTACGTATGTATGTAAGTTTAGGTGAGTTTATGTCGATAAGCATGTGTATATATACAAGTGTGTGCATGTATGTACGTGTGTGCACATGCATGTATGTAAGCATGTGCATATGTATACAAGTGTGCGTGCATGTATGCATGCGTGTATGTAAGCACGTGTGTATGTACGCGTGTGTATAAGCACATGTGTGTATGTGTGTATGTAAGCATGCATGTGTGTATATAAGTGTGGGCGTGTGTATATATGTAAGTGTGTGTATGTATGGAAGTGACTGCATGTATGTATGTGTGTAAGCATGTGCGTATGTATGTGTGTGTGTGTATGTATGGAAGTGTGTGTGTACGTACATGTGTGTGTAAGCACATATGTCTGTACGTGTGTATGCTTGTGTGCATGTAAGCATGCATGTGCATGTATGTAAGTGTGGGTGTGCGTGCTCCCAGTGGCCGGGGGAAGGAGCTGGCAGGCCGGGTCTGCTCTCACCGCCGGGCCTGAGCGTGTCTGGTGTCTGCACTTGTTTCACTGCTGGCTTTGGCTGCCTTTTCTTTGCCTGCAGAGCTCCCAAGGGCAAGCCAGAAAGGAGTCTGATTGGCACAAGTGCCATCGATGTCAACGTAGGGTGACAACTCACCCGGTTTGCCCGGGGCTTTCCCAGGTTTAGTCCTGTGTCCGGGAATCCCCGGGTCTCGGGCAGTCGGGCGAGGGCTGGCTTTGGGAGGTGCTGCTGCTCCTGGGATGTCCCCAGAAATCTTCCCTACAGAGGTTTTCTTTCTCCTCCGCCCGTTCTGAGGAGCCCGGTGCAGGGGTGGGGGTGCCGCGGGCCCTGACAGGGCCCCTGAATTGGGGGATCGAGCCCATTCCCCGAGAGCAGAGTCCGGGCCGGGCCAGGGCCGCAGACCTGGGTGTGTCGCTCCAGGTTCCCCTGTCGGCAGCCATGGAGGATGTGGCCGTTTGCTCCTCCCTCATTCTCATGTCCCCTCCTTCTCCCTGGAATGACTCCCACGTCCTTCTCACCTTCCCGGAGCCCTGGGAAGCTGCCCATTTGACCGTTGTCTAAGTTGGAGGGCTTGTCCCTGGGACAGGGAGAAGTTCTGCATCTGTGACTAGCCAGCAACCCCCACTCCTCAGTGGACTCACCATGCATCCAGGTGGCACCCACTTTGTTTCCGGCACTGTGCTATCTCTGGGTGCAAAGAGGACTGAGGCACTACCGTCCCTCTAGGACTCACTCTGGTGAGAGGTGCAGAGCTGCACCAGACACACCACCCACAGGACATGAACGTGCCACTAGAGATGTGCACAAAACACGGGCAACAACCCCCTCTACCTTGGGAGCTGCAGAAAACTTAAAAAGGGGACGGGATAAACGAGTTGGGTCCTGAAGGATGAGTAGGAGTCGACCAGCTGAGGCAAGGAGGAAAGTAAAGGACAGCCCACGTGAAGGGGCCAGCTGACACTACGGTTCTGACATACCATTCAAATAAATCAGCTTTGTCCTGTCATTGCCTTGTTGTCACAGAGAAATGACTTTGGCCGCAGTGATGCTGAACATTAAAGGCACATTTGCCGACTCACCGTGAAGAAGTCACAGAGTGTGACGTGGGGGAAGACCTCATGGGCTCTATTCTTTGCACACTGACGCTTGCTCTCCCTCCAGAACTCCTGAAGTTTGTCCAGCAGGGCCCCCGTGGGGCAGAGGAAAAGGGCATACTCTTGGGGGATGGGGTCGTCCAGGGAAGGGTCATTGCGATGGCAATGCAGCCTGCAACAGAGAAGGGGCCACCTTCACCGGGTGTCACGACAGAGCTATTGCCCCATCGATGACAGACGACAGCAGTGACAGCAGGGCAGAATCGTGGGGGTACAGAGCACGCGACATGTGTGCGGCAGGTAAGTCCATCCTCCAGCTGTGCGCGGTGGGACACGCCCAGCAGCGGGGCCGTGCGTGCCCGCAGACGCGCTGAGCGTCCACCCTGCTCCCGGACCCACGTTATCTGATTCCAAAGCCAAAGACGGAGAAAATGAAAGAGGGTTTACAGGAAGACTCAAAACCTACCCTTCAAATGATTTTGTAGAAAAATCCACAAAATCCACAAGGGGCGGTCCAAGCCTCCCCTTGGTGTTGAACAATTTTGTGGAAAAAACGCATGTGTTTATTTTACCTCAAACTTCAAATTAAATATAAAAATCAAAACTACAAAAAACTAGGCAACGTTTAGGTGGTCACTATATTTTCTTTCGATTCAGTAAGTTGTTATTATTATTATTTTTTGAGACAGAGTCTCACTCTGTTGCCCGGGAGAGCATGTGGTGGTGTCAGCCTCGCTGATAGCAACCTCAAACGCCTGGCCTCAAGTGATCCTCCCGCCTCGGCCTCCCAGAGTGCTGGAATTACAGGCGTGAGCCACTGTGCCCAGCTAGTAAATTATTTTAGATTCAAGGAAAAATGCTGCACGACCCAGCATACGAGTCCGTTCTCACTAATAATAAAAACAGAAATGGGAACAACCTCGAGACACCATTTTTCTCGTCTGTCAAATTAACCAAGGTATTTTTAGGGATGAAAGTTATGCTCGGTGGTGTCAAAGGCGCAGCAGCAACTCGAGGATGAATCTGTACAACCCTTATATTCATATGAAGCAATTTGCGGACACGGATCAAGAGCCTTAACGTACCCACACCCTGTCAAAATTCTACTTCCAGAAATTTGTCCCAAGGAAAGAGGAAAAATACTGTATGGTCAAAACTTTACATATGAAATTTTACTGTAGGGTTATTTATAAAAGGGAAAGAGAAAAACCTAGATAAATGATAGTAAATGATAGCAAACCTATCATGTATAATTTCAGTGGAAATTATGGTTTTGAAAGATTTCTAATGACTCAGGGACGTGCTTGTGGTAGAATCCTGAGTTTAGAGAGCAGCGAGCATCTGCGTGGGGAAACGCTGGTTGTGAAGAGCACGTCCTTCACATAATATAAACAAAATGTAAACAAAATGCTAATTGAGGTAGCGATGCCCCTTCACGTCTTGGCTCCCCCTTCCCCCTTGCTAGAGTTAACCCCAGCTGTGGATTTGCTTTGTTTTCTCCCAGAAATTTAAGCGACAAATCTATAGAGAGTACTTGCTTTGCATAAATCCCAAAGTGTTGGGATTACAGGCGTGAGCCACTGCGCCCAGCCCAGTTGCCAATTTTGAATTAAAACCCAAGCCCACTGCTGTGAGGACGTGGTCAATTACGACTCAGCCAGTGAGACTGGGAGACCCTCCAAGAAACAGGGAGACAACCAGGTCCCCGAGACCCAACCAAGAGTGGCAGACATCTCACTAGTAATCGGGGAAGTGCAAATTAAGGTACCACTAAAACAAAAAAGGTACCACTAAAACAATTTGTTGTTCAAATTATTGGGCGATTTGCATTTTCTACTGCACAATGTTCCTGTGATGTATTCCTGTTGACGCACACACATCTGTGTAAGTCCGTCGGTGTGAATCTGCTCGAGGCTGCGTGACAGTTTATATCCTACACATGTGTAATATCGGACTTGTTCATTCCCACATCGCTGGACGCTTACATCTTCTTTTTTTAAAATTTCATAACCGCGTGGTCAAGATCTTTGTACATGTCTCTTCAGGCGCTTTGCGTTTCTCCAGGGAATGTGCTTGGACGTGGGACTGCAGGGTGGTCGGCCGTGCCCTTGTCAAGGTCGGACAGACGCCCCAGCCTGCCCTCCACAGCGAGTGTGAGACCCTCCTCCCCTCCCCAACAACACTGGATGCTTTTTTGTTTTAGTGGTACCTTAATTTGCACTTCCCCGATTACTAGTGAGATGTCTGCCACTCTTGGTTGGGTCTCGGGGACCCGGTTGTCTCCCTGTTTCTTGGAGGGTCTCCCAGTCTCACTGGCTGAGTCGTAATTGACCACGTCCTCACAGCAGTGGGTTTGGGTTTTAATTCAAAATTGGCAACTGGGCTGGGCACAGTGGCTCACGCCTATAATCCCAACACTTTGGGAGGCTAAGGTAGGAGGATTGCTTGAGCCCAGGAGTTCAAAGATCAGCCTGGGCAACATAGTGAGATCATAGTGAGATCCCTGTCTCTACAAAAAATTTAAAAAACTAGCTAGGTGTGGTGGCCAGGAGTTGAAGGCTGCAGTGAGCTATGTTCATGCCGCTGCCCTCCCGCCTGAGTGTCAGAGCAAAATTCCACGTCTATAAAAAAAAAAATGGCAACTGGCTTTAGAGTTAGACGAGCCCCGAGTCTTCTGGGAACTTCCCTTGTCCTGTGGAGGGGTTGCATGTTTATGCCGGGCCTAGAGTTTCTGGAGGAGGAAGGGGGTTCCCACTGGGAACACCGGATAAATCTATTATCGGCATGTGTAGTCCTGCTGTCCTGCTGTGGGGAGGGTCTGGGGTCTGTCTGATCCTCACTGTGGCTACCCCAGAGCAGAGGCCTTCCTACCTGGGGACAGAAGGGTAGCATCATGGCACATCCAGGCCAGACAGGGTTTTGGAGAACAGGGGGTCCTCTCCTGGATCCCCAGAGCAGAAAACTGTGGCCCGAGGCGCCCGGCGGCTTGCAGAGTTGCATGGCTGGTGCCTGGTGGGCTGAGAGCCAGGGTGGGCTCTCACCCTGAGGCAGCCGCCTGCACCCCCAGGGGAGAGTTACGACCACCGGTAGACTCTCTTCCCATCAGTACGGCAGCCTCTATTTTATACCAGCAAATGGCTCCTCCCTAGTTAGTCAATGAAATCACATACATTTTTTTCTTCTTTGACAGTCAGATTTGGATTAAATGAGATTTTTAAGTGAAAAAAGCTTTGTTCCAAGTTCTCTCTCTTTTTCCATTTTGAACGAAGCCTGGGTAGGCTCAGAGCTATTTTCTTTCACTTTCACAATGGCCCCCATCCTACCCGGATGCTGGGCACGGCCCAGTGTCCGCCTCGGAGGGAGGGAGTCTCAGGCACAGGCAGCTCTGTCCAAACGCCTCCAGGCCCGAGAACCAGCCACACTCACCAGTCCTCCGCCTCCTCCGCCGTCTTCCTGCCCGTGGCTGCCAACGCCTTCAGCCTACAGGGAACAGACACAGGGCGCTCAGAGTCACGCCCTGCCTTCTTTGGAAAAGGGTCCGAACGGCGGGATGCTGCCTCACACCCACCAGACCCGCAGGGCGTGCCCCACGAGAGCCTGGCTGCCTGGCTTTCTGGCTGGGAGCTGGTCCCCTCCCTGGCTGTCCACTCTGCAGGGTCCAAGCACTCAGGACCTGACCTCCGCCCACCCCTGCAATCCGTCTCCCCTCCCACCCCCACACAGCACTGGAGTGAAACAGACCCACCTGTGGGTCCGGCAGTTGGCCGTGAGCGGTTACACCCCTGGCTGGGACACGAGCTTCCTACCCCGACATCCCTCAGCGAAATGGCACTGATCCTTCCAGCCCCGCTCACACGTGCTCCTCCTCCGGGAAACACCCTCCTTAGGCCGCCCAGGTCTGCTGCCCTCTCCCGCGTTCCCCACCGCACGAGCGCTCATCATGGCTCTCACGGCTCACTTGACGCGCGCGTCTCCCCCGCCAGACCTCGAGGTCCCTGAACCCGGGGTGGTGTCTCATTCATCATGGCAGCCCGGCTGTGTATCTGTTGAACTCCGTTTAGCGGACTGGACCACACAGAGCAGCACAGAGCACAGCTCAGGTAATTTATCGGGAGCTCGGGCTGGAAACGGCCCACATCCACGAGGAACCCCGCAGGGGGCTGCCTACGCTGCTGTTTCGGCGAACACTAGTGGGGTTGGGTTGTGGCTGCCTGGAGAGGTTTTAGCCGGGTGGCCTCGGCACGGAGCCTCACTAGGAGGAGCACCAGTGTAGGTGAGAAATGTAAAGCACATCTCTCCGTCCCCAACGTGTGTTTAATGTTTGAACTGGAAGGATGCTGGGTGTGAGCCACACTACGGCTTCAGTGGGGAACAGGTGGGGGCTCCTTCAGAGGCACCAGGAGCCCCCGACGCCAGCTGCCCTCTCCGGGCCCGGCGTCCGGTCTGCGCCTGGGAGGTGAGTGAGACAAGACGGGTCCAGGCATGAGTGACCCCGGCGGCCGCCCTGCACGCGTGTCACTCAGCTGCCCGTGAACGGAGCGCGAGGACAAGGCCCTGACTGGGGAGGAGAGGAAGGGGTCCGGCTGCAACGTGATTCCTCCCAAGTTGCTCGAGGACTTGTTACAGCGTCGGAGGAAAGGTCAGCTTCCTCCCGAACCCGAGGTTACTGAAAGTGTGTTTCTGATGTATTTTTCCACGCGAATAAGCATCTGAAAAGGACCCCGTCTAAGAAACCCCGTGTCTGTTTGGTTTCTGCCTCTCTGAGGGGGGCGACTCCTCGGATGAGAGGGACGGGCGGACGGTTTCTGTGGCTTCTTAGCCACTCACTTCACTCTAAGACAGTCAAGAGGTTCTACTTAAGGACGGACGCGTGGCTGTCCCTGTTCAGTTCAGGGACACAGTCCCGCTGACGGTTCTCCCAGCGGGTCTCAGCGTTAGAGACTGAGTGGGCTGTGGGGTCTTTCACGTTAGAGTGTGAAACACCGTGAAATGTCACCTTCAGAGTCCCTGAGCTGCACACAAAGAGGTTACAGCCAGGCCCCGGGGTAGGGGGGCGGCTCTGGGAGCACATGGCTTCTAATTCTCACACATTTCAAGGTCCCGCCTCAGCCGCAGGGCAGGTCAAGATCCTCTCATTTACGAAAAGCAGAAGAGGCCTGCTGCGGAGCCCGCGTCTCCCCGCGAGGAGCACGGCTGAGCAGGAAGCGGCGCGGGGGTCGGCAGGGGCCGGGCCGTACTCACGCGGTGTGCGCCGGGAAGCCCATGGCCAGGAGGGGGTCCAGGAGCGAGGGGGTGCTGCGGCCCCGGAGCTTGTTGGAGACCTTGGCGTAGAGCTGCGTCTCCCCCGCTGCCATCTCTTCCTGCCGAGGTGCGAGAGGCTCGCTCGTCTGCGCTCGCTGCAGGCGGGAGATAAAGCCGGGCAGAGTGGCGGGGCTGAGGCTGCGAGGAGAAACCTCAACCCCTTTTTGATGTTTCTGACAAAAGCCGATATCCTGTTTGCATGAGATATTGGTTTTCAGAACTCTCTTTGTGGGGTGTGGGGTGCATTGCCCACCAACCTTGTTGCCACGCCGGGGGTTCAGTCCCAAAGGCCCAACTGAGCCCCTCCATGGGACCAGTGTCTACACAGACCTGGGTGGCATTTGGGAGCAGGAGTGCCTGAGAGCGTGGGGGGAGGAAGTGGGAGCAGACGTTGGGGGTTCTCTGCTGGGTCCCCTGGCTGCCTACTCGAGCAACCCTGGATGTTAGTCCCCTTGTCTGCGAAGGAGATGTGGAGCTACGCTGTATCTGTTGTCCCTGCTTGCTTGAAAACTTTCTGGTTCCTTTAGTTATTCGTTGATTCATTTTTAGATTTTAAAAACTTTTAAAGTTTAATATGCATGTAGCAAAGTTGACGAATCGTAAGTGTACAGTTCAAAAAATTTCCATACAGTGAGCACAGCCCTCACTCCCCCAGGGCCAGCAATAAAACTGTGATCTGCAGCCTCCTCCACCCAAGGGGACATTTGACAATGTCTGGAGACGTTTTTGGGTCTCGCAGCTGTGGAGGGGCATGCGCTACTGGCACCTGGTGGATAGAGGCCAGGAATGCCACAGTCCACAGGGCAGGGTCCACCACAAAGAACCATCCGGCCCGGATGTCAGTAGTGGAGACTAAGGTGGAGGAGGCCTGCTCTAGAACGTTCTCAGAACCTCAGAAGCACCCCTGCCCTGCACCCAGCCTCCTCTAGTCGTCTGCTGCCTCCCTGCTGCCCTCACTGGCACATTAATTGTGCCTGTTTTTGAGCCTCATATAAAGAGAACCATATAGCACGTGCTCTATCATGGCTGGTTTCTTTTGCCCCAAATTATGTTTGTAAAATTTATCCACGTCACTGCTTGTAGCTCTTGTTGGTTCACTGTCATTGCTCTGTAGTATTCTATTAGATAAATATACAATAATTCATTCGTCCATTTCTCTGTTGCTGTACGCTGGGGAGGTTTTTGACTGTTTTGCAGTTGTGAATTACGCTGCTGAGGACATGGTTGTCCGTGTCTTCTAGTGCCCTGTGTGTGCGTTTCTGTTAGGTACGCACCTAGGAGTGGGACTGTTGGGTCACGGGGCGTGTGCATGCTTAGAGACTGCCGAGCAGTTTTACAAAGCGGGTGTACCAACCTGCCCCCTCGTCAGCCGTGGATGGGACTTACAGCTGCTCCACATCCCTGTTCGCACTTAATATTATCGGTCCCTTTAATTGTAGCCATTCTGGTGGGTGTGTAGTGGTCTCGCACTGCGGTTTTAATTTGCATTTCCCTGAGGGACAAGGATGTTGAGCACCATTTCATAGGCTTATTGGCCACTTGAATGTCTTCTCTGGGGAAGTGCCTGTTCAGATTTTCTGCTCTTTTTTTTCACTGGGTTGTTTGCTTTTTCTTATCAATTTGTGGGAACTCTGGTTTGAGTTTTCTGCATCCTGTTCAAGAAATTGTTGCTAATCCAACATTGATGAAGATAGTCTCCTGTGTTTTGTTCTAGAAGTTTTTTTTTTTTTTGAACTTTTACTGTTCATATTTAGCTCTGTGATCCATTTGAATTAATTTCGTGCACGGTGTGAGGTAGAGATAAAGTTTCATTTACTTTCCCATTGAAAAGGCCATCCTTTGCCCAGTGAATTGTAGTAGAACACTTACTGTAAGTCAGGTGACTGTACGTGTTAATCTTTTTCTGACTCCATTATGTTCTCTTATTAGATTCGTCCATTTTCGTGTCCATTCTACACTGTTATAACTACTGTGTTAAGTCCTCTTAGTCTGTCTTTCTCAAGATTGCCTTGCCTCTTCTAGGCCCTTTGCTTTTGCATATAAATTTAAAAATCAGAGGGGGGAGGGGGGAGAAGGGGAGGGGCAAAAACCTACCTAAGGAGCACACCGAGCGCTGTTTGGGTGATGGGCCCCCTTCTAGCCCAGACTCAAGCATTGCAAAAGGATCCAGGTAGCCAAAAACAATTGTACCCCTGTAATATTTTGAAATTAAAAAAAAAAAAAATCAGGTTGCCCAGTGTGCCGTTGGAGAGTGCAGAAATATCCACACACATGGTCAGTTGATTTTCAACAAAATCGCCAATGTAATTCAACAGGGGAAAGGATGATGCTTTTAATAAATGGTGCTGGGAAAACTTCAAGTTGGTATAGGAAAAAAATGAGCCTCAACCCTCACCTCATATTATGCATAAAAATTAACTCAAAATGTAAAAGCTAAAACTGCCAAACTTCTTAAAATCCTAGGTGAAAAATCTTTACTATGTTGGAGTTTGCAAAGCTTTCTTAGGACATAAAATGTATGAATCATTAAAGAAAAAAATTATAAATTGGACTTGTTCAAAATTGAAAACTTCTGTCCTTTGAAAGACACCATAAAGAAGATAGAAAGGCAAGCCACAGACTGGGGCAAAATATCACCACATTTATACCCGACAAAGGACATGTGTCTAGAATACCCAGAGTATTTTATAAATCCTTATAATCAATAATAAGAAGACAAATATCTAGGTTAAGAATGGGCGAAATATCTGAAAGGATACTTGACAAATGAAGATACACAAATGGACGTGAAAAGATGCTCAACATCATCAGTCACCAGGGAAATGCAAATTAAAGCCACAATGTGCTTCCGCAACACACTCGCTAGGAGGGCTAAAATTGAAAAGACTTAAATTCACACCTAATGGGTACAACGCAAGCTTTCTTGGTGATGGGCCACTTAGAACTCTGTCTCAAGCAGCACAAAAGCAATTCGTGTACCCAAAACATTTCTACCCCCGTAATACTCTGAAATAAAACAAAATAAAATAAAATAAAATTGAAATGACTGACAATACCACGTTTTGACAAGGCTGTGGCATAATTGGAACTCTCACACTTTGTTGGTCGGAATGTAGAATTGTCCAACCAGTTTGGAAAACATTTTGATAGTTTCTTATAAAGGTAAACATACATTCACTTATATGACCAATTCCACTTTTAGCTTTTTACCAGAGAGGGATGAAAATGTATGTCCACACAAAGACTTTTCTATGGCAGCTTTATTCACAATAGTCTTGAACCGGAAACCATCCAAATGTCCATCAGCTGGCAAATGACATATGCAAATTATGGTACATTCGATCCGTGGAGCAGCACTCACCAACCGAAAGGAGCACGGTGTGAGGTAGGGGTAAAGGAGCACACTGTTGGTCCGTGCAACAGCACGGACGAGTTTGAAAGGACATTATGCCAAGTGAAAGAAGCCAGACACAAAATCATACATATATATTATTCTTTAAATGAAATCCTAGAAAAGACAAAACTAATCTATAGTGACAGAAAGCAGATCAGTGGTTGCCTGAGGCTAGGGTGTGAGGGAGCTTTTAGGGGTTATGGACATGGTCTCTATCCTGATTTGGTGGTGGTGGTCACATGGGTGTGTATTTTTTTTTTTTTTTTTTGAGACAGTGTCTCCTTCTGTCACCCAGGCTGCAGTGCAGTGGTAACATCATAGCTCACTGCAGCCTCAAAGTCCTGGGCTCAAGCCATCCTCCTGCCTCAGCCTCCTGAGTAGCTGGGACTGCAGGCATGTGCCACTATGCCTGGCTGATTTTTCTTTCTTTTTTTCTTTTTTTGTAGAGATGGGATCCTGCTCTTGCTCAGGCTGATCTCCTGACCTCAAGCAATCCTCCTGCTTTGGCCTCCCAAAGTGCTAGGATTACAGGTGTGAGCCACCATGCCTGGCCCTGGGTATATATAGTTTCAAGACTACTGAACTGAATACTCAAAATGAGTGCACTGTATATTATATAAACTAAACCTCAATAAAATTGATTTTTTTTAAAAAAAGAAAATGGATGGAATGCTAAGGACAACAAAAATAATATATAAATTCCTACAAAAAAAGAAAAAAAGCCTGCTGGGATTTTATTTGGGGTTATGTTAAATCTGTAGATCATTTTG